GAAGGAGATTTACCCCTTTGTGTGTGGCCCAGTGTTTTCCCTGGGCCCAATATCGTCACATGTTGAACCCATGTTCTTATTGTTAAAAAATTTCTACCAAATCATTATTTTATTATTTACAGTTAAACGTTGTGGATACTGAGGTTTTTTCATAATTAGAATTGTCCCTTGCTTGGGGAAAGAATTTTAGGAATGTAGTTTTTAAATGGAGTGAGGGTATTCAACTAAAAATGGTGGAATCCTAACTTTTTTCTTCATAGGTTGAGGAAAAAAGCAATTTTAGCACTTAAGACTGGCTGGGACAAAAGTGGTGTCCTTCTCTCCTTTTTTTCCGTTTCACACACTCACAAGAAGGTTCTAGGACATGGGTGGCTGGCCCCCAAACTGAAGGCCATCTCCTCACCCCCCACACCCCCCAGGACTTTGTGAATTTCCTTTCTGGTAAACAGGGACCCAAGGTTGGATTTGCATTTTCCTTGTTTTTAACCATTAGTTGCTAAATTGAGGGGGAAGATCAAAATGATCTGGTTTATTTCTAACATTTCCCAACATCTCCTTCCAAAATTCTTTTTTTCTTTTTTTTTATACCCCTTATTTTTTCTTTCCCCACCTGTTCTATTTTTTCCTACAAAATGGGCTTTGTTATCTTTTCCCCCCCTTCTTTCCCGTTGTTATGTGATGGGGGCCCCCATGTTCCCAGGACTGGACCCTCGGCCATTGTGAAGGTTGTGGTTCCACAGTGACTATAACTGATAGTAGCCAGAGTTCTTAAGGTTGGGCAATATTTTTACTTTAAAAAAACATAGATTTTTGCAAAAATGGATTTCCAAGGTACTTCTGCAGAATAAACCATAAAACTCTTTCAAATAATCTAAAATCCAGATAGGTGCTTGGCCGGGGTTGTGTGGTGGGTTCACTCTTTTGTAATCCCAGCACTTTGGGAAGGGCTGGGGTTGGCGGAAGATTGCTGAAGCCCAGGGCAGTTTGAGACCCCAGGGCCTGGGCTAACCATGGGGGGGAGCCCTGGGTCTCTACAAAAAAAATTAAAGAAAAAAAAAAAATAGGGCGAATATGGGGTGGGCATGTTTGGCCTGTAGGTCCCCAAGGGCGTTGTGGGTTGAGTGGGGAGGATTCGCTTGAGTGGGGAAGTTCAGGGTCTGCATTTAAAACTGGATCCACCACTGCACCCCAGCCTAGGCAAAAACAGGGATGAACCTGTGGGTCAAATAATTAATAACCCCCAAAAATATACATAAAAAAACCCATAACACCTTTTCTTGAGGGAGAAAAATGTGAAAATGATCGTAAATGTCATCAGAATTACCATAGCTGATAGGGGGGGTTTGCCCTTTTCTAATTATGATCCTACATTAATAGGCCTCGGGGCCATTAAAAATTCATTGTAGGCAAACTTTAATTCCTGGCACACCAAAATTGTTTTTTGAACCTATTAAAAAATCCTGGACATTTGGGCCTGTTGGGGGAGGTTTGGCAAAGATTTTAAAAATATTCATTTCCTTTTCAAGTAAGCTGGTCGTTACAAAAAAAAAGGTCTAAGCACAGGGGCTGCTTTTTCGGGGAACAACTTAAAAGAAAACCACATACGTGGGGAATTTCCCCCAATTGGAAGTTTCCTTTATCAGGCCTTGAGGAAAGGGAAAACCCTCAATTGTAATTACTTACATTATTATAATTGTGGGATCTTGTGAATGAGTCTTATCTGTTAAAGGTTGGCTTCCCCCCTTCCAAGGCATTTTTCATCTCTCTTATTTCAAAAATTTTTCCAGCATCTTCTTTTTTTTTTTTTGGGGGAACAGGGGTCTCGCTTTGTTGGGCCCAGGCTGGAAGTGCATTATTGCAATCCCCCATGGGGGGCCTTACTGCAGCCCTTGGACCTTCTGGATCAAGAAGGTCTTCCCGCCTCAGCCCTCCTGAATATTTTTGGATTAACAGGCATGAGCACCCCACGCCCAGACCAATTTTGCCTTTTTAAACAACAAAAATTTTAGAGGAATATTAAAAAATGTCCTTTTTTTTCAACAGGCAGGGGGAAAACCGTATTCTCATTTGTGTTTTTTCAAAGAGGAAAATCTAAGTCCCTTAAGGGGTTAAAGACCAGGGTCCAAACATTAAAAAAACCTGGGGTTCCAAAACGCAAGCATATGGATTTTTTCGTTTGCAGCAAACAAGGGATTGGGACACCAGGTGGTTTGCCCAGTTTTGGAAAAGAAGATTTTTGTCAGGGGCCCTGGGCTTGGCCAGGGGCTTGCAAGCAGGGGCCTGGGGGGGCGTTGGCTCTTGCAAGGGAAGGGCCTTTTACTGGATCAGCAGGGGGGTCGGCTCCATTGAGGCAAGGGGCAGGGATCTGGAAGGATCCTTCCGGTGGCAGGGCAGGGGATCCCGTGCAGGTGGGGGGCACCATTTACCAGATTGGAGGGGGTTGTTGAGGAAAATCAGCTTTACCATCAGAAGGAGGGGCACCAAAAGCAGAGGGTTCATCCCCACAGGATGCCACTGTTACGGGGAAATTGGAACAGGCCTGCTGGGGGAAGGGCTAATGGCAGGTGGCAGTACAGGGCATTCTTGTCTTCCAAGCAAGTTGAGCCTCAGGTACAAATGGGCCACCCATTCTGGGGAGGCAATCTTGGTAAGGGGAAAAGGGGGGGCGGGCCGGTTTCCTAAGGACTGGGACACCGGGCCAAGGGGTTCAATCAGGTTCAGGGAACGGGGGAAGGATACTCATTTGCAAGAAACTGGGGTGGAAAATGATAATCCAAGTGCTTTCAGGGGAAAATGGGGACCCCCTTTATTGAGGGGCATTAAACCAAGAAAAAAAAAATTAAAAAAAAAATTTTTTCGTAAATTTGAAGTCTCTTATGTTGCCAGGGGCCCCAGTCTTTCAACTTTCCCTTGAGCCTCCAAAGAAAGATCCTTCCTGCCCTTGGCCTCCACACCAGTTTTTGCTGGGGATTACAAGGCATGGGGGCACCCACCCAAGCCTTTGAAACCTTTTTGTGAAAGGTGGAAAGGGCGTTTGCAGAGGTCAGGAAGCAGTTAGAGCTGGCAAATGCAAAATCCAGAGTTTTAGAATCGAGTTTGTTAATCCCTATACTTTAAAGACTTATTCGACTTTGTTTTAAAAAATGTGTTGGCTGGATCTTAGCTTACAGAAACCTCTCTTCAGCTCTCAAAGGAGAGGAGAGAGAAAAGTAAAAATATATATATACATATTATTATATATATAATTCCTCTGAACTGGTCTATGCGACAATAGTGTTAGTCAAGATTCTTGGGGGCAAATTGCAGAAATCCCCATTTAAAAGTAGTTTTAAGAACCTTACAATGAAAGCGGATTTACTTGCTCATGTAACTGAAAGTACAAGGGTGGAGCTGCACAATTACAAAAAGGGCCTCAAACTGCTGTTCCCTGAGCTCTTTACTCATCTTTCTCCTTTACTCGTTTTGCTGCTTTTGTTGGGTTGGTAAAGTGTTTAACAACTGTAAGTCTCTGGGTAAAAATGTATTTGTATGTACATACATACACAAAGTTATTAAAATTTTGACTAATATAAGGAAATGTATAGCACAATTTCAAAGAATAATATCTATATTCTTTTTTTGGTTTTTTTTTTTTGAGACGGAGCTCTCTCTGTCACCCTAGGCTGGGAGTGCAGTGGACCGAATCTCAGCTCACTGCAAGCTCCGCCTTCCCGGGTTTATGCCATTCTCCTGCCTCAGCCTCCCCAGTAGCTAGACTACAGACGCCCCACCTCTCCTGGGCTAAGTTTTTGTATTTTTAGTAGAGACGGGGTTTCACCGTGTTAGCCAGGATGGTTTCAATCTCCTGACCTCGTGATCCGCCCGTCTCGGCCTCCCAAAGTGCTGGGATTACAGGCTTGAGCCACCGCGGCCGGCCTAATATTCTTTATGTAAATTTGATACAGCTAATTTATTCTCATAGGATACTTTTGTTTATTTTTGTTAAACTCTTGTATCTGTAAACAAATATGGTTGTTTTTGAAGAACCAGTATAATTCTGACTTGAATGTTAGTGGATATTTTCATTTACAAGAAAGACAATGCTATGTACTAAACTGTGTCCTCCTCGAATTTATTTGTTGAAGCCCTAACCCCTAAGGAGACTGTATTTGTAGATAGGGCCTATAAGGAGGTAATTAAGTTAAAGGAAGTCATGAAAGTGGGGCCCTAATCTGATAGAACTGGTGGCCTTGAAAGAAGAGGAAGAGGGAGAGAGAATTCTCAGACTCGAAGAAGTCATCTAAGCACACAGTGAGATGGAGACCACCTACAACCCAAGAGAGAAGACCTTAGAATGAAACCTACCTTTCTGCACCGTGATCTTGGACTTCTAGGCTCCAGAACCATGAGAAATAAATTTCTGTGGTTTAGGCCATCCGGTCTATGGTATTTTGTCATGGCCCATAGAGACTCACACAGATAAAAAAGAAAGTGAAACAATAAAGACATATATGGAAACTTTACATTTTTTGCAAAGACTAACAACTTTGCTCAACCAGATAATAGTTTTTGGATAACAGAATATTTTATTTCTTTTTTGTTCTGTTTATGTAGCATCTTTAGAGATGACACATTTTAAAGTTTAATCTGCATTACTAACAATTTTTCCATCACTGTTAACTTTAGATAGGGGATTGGCAAAATGCCCTGTGGTCCTAATCTGGCCTGCTGTCTGTTTGTTGTAAATGAAGTTTTTTGGGACACAGCCACACTGACTTTGTTTACGTATTGTCTATAGCTGCCTTTGCACTGCAATGGCACAGTTGAGGAGTTCTGACAGAGACTATATGACCTGCAAACCCTGAAATGTTTATTGTCTGGTCTTTTACAAAAAAAACTTGTGAACTTTGGTTTAGAAAACCAACAAAATAATAAATTAAGCCTTGTAGTGTTTGAAAATTTTCATGGTATAAATATTCCCACTATGGGTAATTTCAAGCTGCCAATGTAAATGTCACTGAACACAGAATTGAGAAAAAATGTGCAGTAAAACACCATTATGTAGCATTTCCACCAAAATACTATATAAGTTCCAAAAAAACTTATTTTTTTTGTTTTATAACAAAAGGTATAACTAACCCCAGGAACATAGATAATAATAAAATGCAGTCAGTTAGGAAATGAGTTTTGAATATGTACTATCTTTGCTTTTACTATAATTTATTTAATTGTAAGTTTATATAATTTGCTTTTTAATCATGGCTGTCTTTAATGACCGGCTCACAAAATCTCCTGAAAATTTAACAGTTGATGCTTATGAGCCAATATGAGCTGACTCCAGCACACCACCATCTCGGTTTCTCCAGGCATGTTGACCTAACTCTCCTCTGCTGGCAACAGGCTCCTTATGGCCAGAAAGTTTGTGGCTGGCTGCCCCAAGCCTATATCTTATAGCCTCTGATAACAATGATGAAAAACTCTGGAGCCTTTAATATCCATAAGTCACATTCAGTGCCTGGAGCAATCATTCTGGAGAATGGACTAGAGTGAGTGCAATGACAGATAATCTCACCAGGACTACATTGAATGGGAGAGGGGCTGTTCCTTTCTTATAGAGTGACTGTGGGTATATAAAAATTGCCTAAATTAGTTCCTAGCAATCCTACTTGCCCAACTCTAAATGCTTGTCAATGTTGAAATGAGGTACAAAGAATTCAATACAACACCCCAATGAGTTGTGATCATGGTAAAGCACAGTTGAGACAAGTACTTCCCTGGATGTGGATATCAGGTATGCCATTAATGTACCTTTCAAGTGCATTGATCCCCTCTCACTGCAAATAAAATGTGTTGATCTTTTTAATCTCATCCATGTTGACATTCTAGCCAATGTAAACACCTAGCATTTTTTCATGAGATCTGCTCTTAAGACATTTTTACATGATCTAGATTTGAAAAAAATGTATTTTTTTCTAGCCTCAATGTGAGAATTTGTTTTTTTCTCAGTTGTTTTTTATTTCAGCCCACTTTACCAATCAGTTGAGACATTTTAATATTTTGATTCTACTGTCTGCAATATTGTCTATTCCCACCAGCTTTATTTTGCTTGTATATTACAGTTATTTATGATTTCCATGTTTCTATCCCAGTCATTGTTAAACTTAAAAAGAAAAGAATAAATTCCTTTGAGATACCACTAGAAGCTTCTTTTCACATTGGCATCCAACCATTAAGTGGCATCCAACCATTAAGTGATTGCACAGTGAAACTGGTGCAAATCCAGCCCATGTGTAATTATTGCACATGAGCTCTGTTTTCTGTGTGAAGGAAGGATCAATGTCTTCCGCCAATTATACTTCATTCTTTGAACAATACTCTAGAGAAACTATTATGCAATTAATATGATTAGGGTTTTATTTTTTGGGAAAAGCAAATAACATCAATTTATGATGTTAACTATTGTTCTAAAGTAGGTCATAGTAAGATCTGTAAACCCCTTTTCCAGAAGATAAACATCCATCTCTTGCAAAACTAGAAGAGACTGTATAATGATTGCCACATTTCTGTGAGATATTCCTTTGTCTAGAATTTATGCTGATTTGTGGTTTAATAAAGCACAGTGAGGGACCTTCCCATTGAAACTATCTAAAATGAGTTGTGATAGGTGGTGATGTCTCTATAGCCCATCATTTCTGCCCTCTGCCTCTTAATAGAAGAGTTCAAACACCTTGATTTCTTGCACAGTCACTTCACCATGGCCATGGAGTTCTTGTGTGTTTGTGTGTGGTGGGGGAGGAGTTGGGAGTGGAGATGCAATCTGGAAGACCACTCCCTACCCATTTCCAACTCTCCCCCTCACCACACACAGGAATTTCTCATAGAAATATGGCAATCAGTATATAGGGTCTGAGGGTATCTCTCATCTTGACCAAGCTCTAAAACAATGTAGGCCCCAGGATAGGACTAATTTTTCTCCTGGTTGTATGCTGTGTTCAATGTTGAGATGGCAGGTGCCTTGTGTCTAGCTTGCTGTTAAGGGAGGAGTACAAGACAACAATTATGGGGATTGAGGGGTTGAGGTGGGGAGACACCAGAGTTAAAGTATTGAATTGGTATCTTGCCCCATCAGATCATAGGCTGATTCTTGCTTCCCTATCCAGATTGTGTCACTTTTTGGTGTCCTTCGTTTTGTGTCCCTCCTTGCATTTTTTTTCAGATAGCTTGTCAAAAACAGAACTCTTCAGAGTATCTATGTACCTGCATCGGTCTCTATATTGGCTTTCCATTTTCTTTCTACTTGAGATCATTTATGATGATCTTGTCAATATTTTGCTTTGTAGAACCTCCAATTTTTCTTTAGCCATATTCCTTCTTAGTCTCAGACAATGGATCATGCCTCCATTTCTTTTAAACATCCTTTGAGCTACTTCCTCAGGGAAGTCCAGGGAAATATCTACCCACTCAAAATTCCTCCCCCTTCCTCAACACTATGTGACAGGGTCATTTTTCCTCATGACTGCTGTCTCTTCCATACCCCCAGCCAGTCTTTTATGTTGATCAGAACCATGTTTGGCATAGCTGTTTTTCTCATTGTTTTCCTTACTTTAATGGAGGACGAATTGTCAATAAACTAAGCCAAGGATTTACTAGATACTCCCCTGTGGGAAGAATGGCACTTCTAGCAGAAGTATGAATTGCCAACCCTCCATTACTAAATATAACCTTGCCACAATGTCCTTCTGAATTTCACACAGGGTTTTATACCTTCTTGACATAATTCTTCCATTAGATTGATTTTCTGACCTAGATTTCCCTTCTAATGGCCCATTCCACTTGACAGTTCTATCCTTTTGGGACTCCGTAACACCAATAGTATCATACATACTTTTCTCCATGGAAAGGTCAAGCTCATTTTCTTTGTTTATCCAGGTGGATTCTATGAAGCTTATTTATTTCTACATGTCCAGCATTAACGAAGTACCTAGCACATGATAAATAGTCAATAAATGCAGGTTGAATTTTAAAAAAGCTGGTATAGATGCATATGAAAACCTAAATATTTTTGAAAACTCTTCCCCTAGCTGTATTTTCTTGAGAATAATTGGGCTCCTTTTTTGCTATTGTTCTTTTCTCTGTATGTCACAGACTTATGTTTAATGGGTTTTAGATCCTAGAACTTGAGTTTACAGGCTGAATATGTGCTATGGGCTTACTAGGGTAAGCCCTTCTTGCTCTCTCTCAAAGAGCAATATGAATCATTTTCTTGCTGTCTCTCAAAGAGCAATATAGCATTGAGACTTGGTAAGCCATAAATAGAAAGCAAAGGGTGAAATTTCATTGTAAAACAGCAAAAAGAATCAGAATTCCCTTTATTCTTTTAGGGCAAAAGATCACTTCTTGCATTATTTGAAGGTGTCACATGAGAGACTTGCCTGCTTTTCAGAGGGCAGTATTGCATATTTGGGGCTGAAAGAAACAGGAGAGCAGAGGAGAAAGATAAGTTTTGAAAGCTCAGAGGTTTTTTTCTAAGGTATAAGCAAGCCACTGTGGACAGTGTTCCTAAGAGAAACCCTCAAATAGCTTTTATAGGCAAACCAAGAAAAACTTAATTGAACATCCTAGAGAGCTGATTTTCCCTACCTACAGAGATAAAAATGATATTGCAATGCAGAGGGTAGGGCAACTCTTGGTATAGGTTACAAAGGAGTAGTTAAGTCTTAAGAGAAAGGTCATATTTTAAAATAGGTTGAAGAATAAAAGAAAGACTGAAAAAAATAATGGAAATATGGCAAGCACTTGGGCAGATGAACATGTTAAGAATACAGTCTGTGGAGGGGGCACACTACTTCTTTCTTGCTCCTCATTAGAAAATGGTGGGATCAAGTGTCCTGGAGAGTGACATAGTTTTACAGACCAATTTTCCAGGAAAGCATTTGGTTTCGGTGCAAATAAATTAGCGAATAAACTACCGGAAATACTGAAATGGAAATCTCATGTGATTCAGAGTGAACTTAGGGATTCCTAAATGAAGAAACATCACCATTGTGCCCATGCCAAAAGGGTGATAAGGATTATTCCTCTTTCTTCAACAATTTCTCTTTCACTTCCTGATTTCGGTGGGCATTGGCAGGGCGCAGTCTTTGCTTGTTGCTCTTCTCTCTTAACACACTTTATTTATTTATTTGATTTTTGATTTCTTTTTGTAAAGACAGGATCTCACTATGTTCCCAGTGATGGTCTCAAACTCCTGGCCTCAAGTGATCCTCCCACCTTGGCCTCCCAAAGCACTGGGATTAGAGGCATGAGTTACCATGCCCAGATGACACTTAATTTTAGCAGGCTCATTGTTGCCCATAAACTTCAGCACCCCCCTCTCTCTGTATAGATGACACCCAAGTCATTAA